GAGTGCGGAAACCCGAAACCCTAAAACCCAAGAGACTACATCCCGAACCCTGGAGTTGAACCCCTGAACCTTAAACCTATAGCAAAGAAGCAAAAAGAACCTTCACCTGGCAAGGTCACGTGGTAAAGCGGCGCATCTCAAACGCATCGTCGCAACCGCAGGCTCGGAACTGGGGGTTTAGGCTTGTAGGGTTTCGGGTATTCCTAGGAGATTTTCGGGCTTTGGGTTTTGCTTCGAAGAAGTGTTAACACCAGTTTACCCTTACCCGCCACATGAGGGATAAATGTTCAGGAGGTTTTCGGGATTTAGGCTAGCTTTTTATACAGGTTTGAAGAAATGTTACACTCGTTTCCCCGTGCAGTGCATTTGAGGCCCTGGGGTTCAGCCTAAACTCTGTAGGGCTCTTAGCTCGGGGTTTAGACTTTAGGGTTATACTTCAGGTTTTAGACAACCACAAGCAGTTGGGACTGCAGAAAGCAAGAAGGAGGGAGGCATATCAAATCCCAACCCCCGAAGCCCTAAACCGTACGCTGCTTTGATCGAGTTGCGAGAGTCGAAACCCTGAGCCCCAAACGGATAGTTTTTCTTTACCCCTATCCATGCATCCGCCCGTCCATTCATCGTTCGTCCGTCCGTCCATCCATCCCATACATCCTGTGCATGCATGCTTGTTGTATGTTCACATGTAACACATGCACGTGCGTTCTTATGCTAGACACTTGGGTTGTCGACAATCGTTTTTATTCGTGGTAATTCTAGACTGAAACCGTAACTTCTGTGGGTGGTAACTGGTAGTATTGGTCCCTACAGCTTAAGCCTGTAGGAGCTGCCCCCTTGTGCGCCAGCGCAGAATTTCAGTCATGGCTTTCCAGCATGAGCAATGAGCAGGTTAGAATTCAAATTCAGATCAATGTGCTCGAACCTTTTGTCGGCCACCACCAGAAAGGCAAATCGAAATGGGAAGCGTCAGGCCTAGCAGGGTTTGGGGCAAATCAGCAACAACTCCGAAATCTTGCGCGGCGCCGGGGCTGCAGAAAACCTAACATATTACTGGAGAGGAGTCATTCCGTGCGGAGATCAAGCTGCATGCAAGCTGCAAACATCTGGGCCCAAGTCTGTCGAAATCTGGCTGCCGAAATCGAACCAATTTGCATCTGTCTAGAAACTCCCAGGTTACCGAAACCTGACAGGAAACCGCACAGGCCGGGAACCGCCAACAGTTGCGGAAATCTGGCCGGAACCCCAAAGCCAATGCTGTCCGTCGAAATCTATCTGCCGTGCCGGAAGCCCGCAATTTTACAGAAATTTGAGCCGAAAGTCCACTGAATGCAGCAGTGGGTTCGTGGGAACAGTCACGTCCGGGTTTCAAGATTGGGAGCTGGAAATTATTGCAAGGGAACTGGTAGGAGGTCAAACTTGTGTAGCGGAAGCATTGACATGTTAACGGCAGAACAGTTTTTCTGGACTGAAAAATCGATGTTCGCGAGCTCACTTTGTAAAGGGAGTTGTCTTGGGACCGCGCTGCGCTGGCGAAACCTCCATTACAAGCCCCTAAACCCTAAACTCTAAACCCATTAAACCCTACGCCCTAAACCCTAGTCCGTACAATTACAAGCCCTAAACTCTGAACCGCTAAGAAACCCTAAACCCTAAACCCTACATTACAACAAAGAAACTCTAAGCCCACTGAACCCTAAACCCTATAGGCCCTATATACATTACAAGCCCTAAACTCTAAACCCCCTAAAACCTAAACCCTAAACCCTACATTGCAAACCCTAAACTCTAAACCCTACACCTTAAACCCTAACCCTAAACCCTACATTACGAGCCCGAAATTCTAGACCCCCTAAGCCCTACATTACAAGCCCTAAACTCTAAACCCTACACGTTAAACCCTAAACCCTAAACCCTACGTCACAAGCCCTAAACCCTAAACTTAGCCTAAACCCTACACCCTAAACCCTTACATTAAACCCTAAACCCTAAATCCTTAACAACACAAGCCCTAAACTCTAAGCCCCAAGCTTGGTGCCTTTGCCAGGTCCGGGCCGCAGCCTCTTCGGACTCTCGAGGGCTGCCAGTGCTCCTGAGCAAGAAGTCGACCTCGCGAGATTCAAAGACTTTGGGGGTGTAGGGCTTTGGGGCTTTAGGGTTTTAGGGGTTTAGGGGTTTATGGTTTTAGGGCTTTAGGGTTTTAGGGCTTTAGGGGTTCAGGGCTTTAGGGGTTAGGGAGCTGAAGCCGTAATCGGGTGTCTGAGAAGGAGAGCAGCAGGGATGACAGGCACCATCGTGTGCAACTCGAAGTGAACTCCAGGAACTGCCAGTGCCAGAAGCTTTCGTCGTCGTCCCAATATAAGGGCCTTAATAATAAGAATAGGGTTTTGGGGCCCACTATACTATCACTATAAGAAGGACCCCCCCCCAAAAAAAAATAGTCTAGGTTTTTATCTAGGCCCCTACATTACTCCTCCTCCTCGTCAACTTCGTCATCGTGATGGAGAGTGTATAGTCGTCTTGCCTTACCACCAATGCAGAGATGATGCGGTCTTGCATTGTGCCACTTAGTTTTCCGGAAGCATCTAGCGCAACAGACACTTCAGAGGGCCAACATTCTTTCGGCAATAGTGCTGACGTGGCAGTCTCCTCCTAATTATAGCACGAACACGAACATAACATATTCATGTCTGGCACCGCCATCAGCTGCAAGACCCTGGAAGTTCTGATACACCCGGCAGCATGACATAGATTCACCCGCTTGAAACTTAACCGATTTGCCGTGAAAGGTGCGTTTCTTAGGGGCTGAGTAGGTAACCTTTAACCTTTTGGGGGGTTATATAACCCTACTGGAATTCAAAAGATTGACTTTTTTGGGCTAGGGTTCTCAGCCCCTAAGGTTTCTATCCATTCCCTCCACTGCTGTCGTCATGGCTCTCTTCCGCATTTTGCGCACATCAGCTCTGGAATCCTTTCGTCGAGGGTGTGTTGCTGATATGGATGCCGCGGCAGGTCATCCCTCAGCGAGAGCTCAGCCGGCGGCAGCACCAGGTTTCGATTTTGAGAGTCTCTGCTGAGTGCGAAGCTGTCAGGGCGCTTGGGGAAGGGGCGTCTCGGCTTTGCAGACTTTGCCCTGGCGAGGCTTAAGAACCCGCTTGGCAGCGACAAGCCCGACAAGCATGTTCGAGTCGACGGCTCAACCTTTATACCAAGTTGGTAGCCCTTCCGGTATCCTAAGCCCCTGAACCCTATGACCAGCTTCGTCATCATGTCCACCTTCGGATATCGGCGTGTGCGAACTAAGCAGGTGGCCGGAGGCCTGGACTCTAAACCCTAGGCCTTAAACCTAATTTAAATCGAAACCCCTAAAAATTTTGCCTTAAACTTAGCTTAAACCGACACCCCCTAAACATCTTTGCCTTAAGCTCTAGAGTCTAGAGCCTCAACCCTAAACCCTAAACCGCCCGGAATCTTTGAGGTCGGGAGCGACCTGAAACATGAAGCTCTGGAGACAGCGAGCTCCAACCACACCCCGCTCTGCAGGGAGCTCAATGGCCCATGCTTGGCATTTTGAGTTTAGGGTTTAGGGTTTAGGTGCTGAGTTATTGTTAGGTTCCCAGCAGAGGCTCTTGCAGGCTGGATGCAAAAAGGTGCTGTTATTTCATTGCAGGTTTTGAAATCCGATATGTCTTTGTCCCCGGCAGTCAGTGCCGCTCTAGACTCTAGCCACAGTGCTGCAATGCTCCTTGGGTGACGATGGTTTTCTGCTAACTAGGGCTACTGCGACCGCCATGACTACCAGCTAGCTCTAGACTGCAGCTGCTGGCTGCAAGCTCATCGCAGAAAGCCCGTACTGGGTGGCTCCCCCAAGGGTAAGTGATCGGAGCTCGTACGCAAGCCTGGCTCCACTACCAGTGTCATCACCGTCATCACCATTGCCATGATCACCATCATCTTTGTCTTCATGCTCGTTTTAATCCCCTCCCCAAAACCCTAAACCCTAAACCCTAAACCCTACATCCGAAACCCCATCACCACTGTTTTTTGTCGCCTGAACGATTAGCGCCGGGGCAAGGCCTGGAGTCCAACTCCAGCATCGGCGCAAGCCCCATGGAGGGAAGGCAGGGCTTGACTTGCTCAGCTTTTGGATATCTAGGGATTTAGGGGTTTAGGGTTTAGGGGTTTAGGGTTTAGGGTTTAGGGATCTGCTGAAGAAGGACTCCTTCATGAAGGTTTCCGAAAATAGGGGACCCTAATATAGTACCCTAAATAATAGGATGCTTATTATAAGGACCCCAAAATAAGGGTACCCCGAATTTTCGGAAACTCCCATCACCCAAGCCAAACTGTCAAAGGTGTGATTTTTTTCGAATTGAAGTTCGGAGGAGTTAAGCCCTTGTAGTCAGGAGTCGGGGGGCACAGCAGCTCATTTTGCCCAAGAAGCCGACCGGGACAACCCTAAACCCTAAACCCTAAACCCTAAACCCTAAACCCTAAACCCTCCATTTTCAGACCCACCAAAACCCTGCCTCTCCTGGAGTCCGAGTGTATTGTAGGGGCCCTACTAGCTAGCATAAAGTTTTGGGGCCCATTATACTATAGCTAAGTGTAATAAGGACCCCCCCCCAAAACAGTATTCGTAATTATTGCGTCCGGCCCCTATATGTAAGCCAGAAACCCCAAGTCTACCCCACTTCCTCGCAGGGATTCGGAGAACAGCCGCTCAAAAGCAGTGCGACTCAGCATCTCGGCTGTTTAGGGTTTAGGGTTCGCTGGCACACAATCCAAGCCCATGCTAAAAACAAAATGGGTTTGGGGTTTAGGGATCTGCAGTCGACAGTTTCACAGAATCAGGGTATTTTATCTAGCGAGCCAAAATATTGAGGATCCTACTGTGTATGAAAGGTAAAGTACACAGAACTACCATGCATCTGTATAGTTGAATGTTGCCACCATTTCGACTGTTGCGAGGTTCTGGCAGCCTCCGGGCGTTTGCAGACGAGATGTCTGAGCTGCGTCGCATCCTTCTGGCCCAGCCGAAGGCAGAGGGCCTGGGAAACGTGCCCAAGCGAGCTACAGAGTTGCCTCCCAGCTGCATGGTTAAGGGACACGTCCTCCACGGAATGATTGCTACAAGACAGCTCCAGGACTGACACTGATCTGTGGTATCTGAGGTTGGAGGACCTGCAAATGAGCATGATGGAGACCATCCGCAATGAGTTCAAGGGCCTGAAGCTGGGACTTTCATAACGTTCTTGCACCCTAAGTTCTTCTAATTCTATGTCATTGCTATAATGCTGCCTGTGTTATGAACCTCCTAGAGCCCCCTTGGCGCTTCCTACCTTGAAATAATTATGGCGACTTAACTCTTAAATAAGCTAAACACCTCCTGCACCCACCCTAGGCCCTAAACCCTAAACCTTAGAGGGAAAAAACTCTAAGCCCTAAACCCTAAACCAAAACCCTGATCGGAAGCTACCTGTTGTTCGACATCTGAGGGGCTGGAGTTTGTGCTAAGTCAGGGGAGTTTGAGCCTGCCCCGCTCGAACTTTGGAGCGCAAGCGACGAAAAAGACCCTTAAACCCTAAACCCTAAACCCTACTAAATCCTAAACCCGAAACCCTAAACCCTAAACTTTTCCCAGGAAAGAGGCGCAGGAGGAGAAGCAGAGCCCAGAGAACGCCTCGCTGTCCTCGCTGGCCGTCGGCATCACCTCGCAGATTCACAACCTGAGGGATGCCAGGGCCCCGGGGCTTTTAGGGCTTTTAGGGCTTTTAGGGTTTAGGGTTTAGGGTTTAGGGCTTAGGGCTTTTAGGGCTTTTAGGGCTTTTAGGGTTTACGGTCCATGGGCTGCGAGGGAACTTGGCCGGGCGAGCTTCAAGCAAGCCTGTGTAAAAGGGTCCATGGGCTTCCATAGCTTCGGATGGGAAGTGCTTGCAGGAGCAGCAACAACAACACGAAACTGATCCATGCCTTGCACCACAGTTATGGGGTTAGCATCAGCGCCATCGTTTTCAGCACTCACCAGCACCACCACCTACCGCCGCCACCACCACCGCCGCCGGCACCGCCACCATCATGACTACCACCACCACCACCACGACCACCACCACCACCACCACCACCACCACCACCACCACCACCACCACCACAATCACCACCAGCAAAATCAGCACCAGCATCTTCACCATTCACCATCACCGTTACCATCACCGTTCACCATCACCGTTCACCGTCATCGCTAGCATCATCACCATAGCAGCATGCTAGCCAGACTGACTAACAGTCACAATGTTAAGAGCAGTAGGCCAGGAACCGGATCCATGCAGTTTGTTTGAAAGACTTGGCTGAGGACCTGCTGACCATCCTGCACAGCAACGGGTCTCAGGGCAGCGTCTGCAGTTCCACTCGGAATTCCTGCAGCCCGCCTCCACGCATCGTCGCCATGCCACGAGAGGAGTCTCCCCCGGCTGCACGAGTCGTGGGACCAGCGGCTACGGCTCCTATCTCCGGCTTCTCTACCGAACCAGTGGTCCGCCCTGCCACAGCCTCGCCCACCCCGGACGGGCGGTTGTCCCCAGCACCCCCTCTCTCCCAGAATTCCCTCCCCAACTCCCTGCCCTGTTCCGTCCCGGGCTCCGTGATGCCCTCATCTCCCCACCTCCGCATGTCCAAGCCCCTGCAGCAGCGCCTGGTGGTTACCGCCTCCACTGGCCAGCTGCCTGCTGCAACTTGGCCCAAGTTTAGCTAGTATTAGGGTTTAGGGTTTAGGGTTTGGGGTTTAGGGTTTCGCGTTCATGGTACTTAGCATTGAGTCTGATATTGTTGACGCTCTTCACCTTCTTAAGGCCTCGCGGAATTTCTTTAACCTCGATGTCCTCGTTAGTGCTCGTTGGGGTGATGTGCTGTTGCCTGATATCCCTGCAATCACATCCCGAATCTTTAAGGATTTTGGAGTTGTAGCCACATGGTCGTTG